ATCCTTAAAGACAGTATCATTTGACCTCTGTTTCCTCCTCCCAACTCACCTGTACAACTCTTGCTTTCTGCACTACAGCCATACAAGCTATTTTTCAGTTTCTCAAAGTGTCCTATGCTTCTTCCGGCTCATTACACGTGCTTTTCCCTTTGCATGAAAGTTGTTCCCTGTTCTTTACCCATTTAACTCCACCCCAGCCTTGAGCTCTCAGTTCAAGGCACACTTTTGCAAGAAAGACTTTCCAGAACTTCCTCATTTCCCCCTATTACAGCCCTCAGAGAACACTATTTTTCCTCTGTAGCTATAATTGCAGTTTATAACTATATATTTTTATAAATATTTAATTAATATCTATCTTCCCTACTAGACTACCAGTTCTATAACAGCAGGATCTCTTTTTGTTCACCCAAAGCCCATGTGTTTGGCACATTGCACAGTACCTGGCAACCTTAAATTCTCAAATTATAATAGCTAGTATTTTTCTCTCTAATCTTTATATTATACTAGCATTTTTCTCTCTAATCTTTATGTTATGTTCCCAAAAGTGACGTGCTAAATACATTAAAATCAATAGATAACTGAAAAGTCTTTCACTATTTGTTTTAGCCTAAGCATTCTGTCCCCCCTCCTACCCCCACAAGAAATTAAATCACCCCTCTAAAAGTTAAAGAAGATCCCTTGAAAATTTTGAAAATATTTACTTCCCATGAAATTTCTTCAAAATTGTTCTATTGCTTATGCATCTTTTTGTTTTTTTAATCAGAAATTAATAACATCCTCTCCAATTTCTATAGTTTTGTAATGAAATTGAAAACTATCTTATCTTTGTCTAATGTTGATCTTATTTCACTCATTGATTTTCTCCTAACTTATTATGAAAACCGTAAACTCTAGAAAGGATAGCACAATGAACATTTATATACTCACTACCTATAAAATTTAACATTTTGCCATAATTACATTTTGTCTCCTTTCTCCATTCTACTTAAACATATATGTAAATGTGTGTGTGTGTCTGTGTGTGTGTGTGTGTGTGTGTGTGTGTGTGTGTATTTGAGCCATTTGAAACTAAGTTACAGATATGATGACACTTCACCCTTGAGTACTTGGA